TAAAAAAAGCCGCGATCGCGATCTGCGGCGGCAATTCGGCGGGAGGTCCTTCACTCCCAGGCGGAGTGAGGGACCGTCCGCCGAATTGCCGCCGAATACCTGGAACTGCCGCCCCTGTCCGGAACGGCCGCCCCAAGCACCTGCTTGAGAAGCTGGTGCCTGGAGCCGGCCCTGATTTTAATACAACCTAATGAAAGTGTATACATCTAGGAACAAAGACTGTAGGACATATATACACAGTGGGGGATTCTATCCTGGTAAGCCGTGATTCTGAAAAAGATTTAGGACTTGTGATATATAATCAACTGAACATGACCTCCCTGTGCAATGCTGTGGCCAGAAGAGCTAATAAGATCCTTGGATGTATAAACAGGGGAATCTTGAGTAGGAGTAGAGAGGTTATTTTACCTCTGTATTTGGCATTGGTGAGACCATTGCTGGAATACTGTGTCCAGTTCTGGTGCTCACAATTCAAGGAGGATGTTGATAAATTGGGGAGGGTTCAGAGAAGAGCCACAAGAATGACTAAATGAGCTCTCTGAGGCTATCCATTTATTTAGCTTCACAAAGAGAAGGTTAAGGGGTGACTTCATTACAGTCTGTAAGTATCTACATGGGAAATAGATATTTAATAATGGGCCCTTCAATCTAGCAGAGAAAAGTATCCAGCGGGTGGAAGTTGAAGCTAGACAAATTCAGACTAGAAATAAGGTGTAAATTTATAATGGTGAGAGTGAGTAATTATTGGAACAATTTACAAAGTCTCGTGGTGGATTGTCCATCACTGACAATTGTTAAATCAAGATTGGATCTTTGTCTAAAAAATATGCTCTAGGAATAATTTTGGGGAAAATGTTTGGCCTGTGTTACACAGAAGTCAGGCTAGATGATCACAGTGGTCCCTTCTGGCCTTGAAATCTATAAATCTATGAAACGGGGGGAAGTGTGGGGAAAGTCAGGCTAAATTCAACATGCACCAAATTTGTAAGGTGGAAAGAGCTAGAAGACTTAGGGCTGGTCTACACTACCGCTTAAGTCGATGTAACTTATGTCACTCAGTGGTGTGAAAAAAGACAGCCCCCCCCCCCCCCCAGCAACATAGGTTATATTGACCTAAGTGCTGTCCACACTGGTGCTGTCTCAGCAGGAGATGTTCTCCCACTGACATAGCTTCTGCCTCTCGCAGAAGTGGAGTAATTATGCTGCCAGGAGAGCGCTTTCCTGTTGACATAGAGTATCTTCACCAGGCATGCTACAGCAGTGCATCTGCAGCACTGCAGCTGTGCTGATGTAGCATTGTAGTGTAGACTGGCCCTCTGATATTTACTATAGACAGCATTGATTAGTGTCACATATAGGTATGACAACAACTTACTTTGTGTCTTTGATTCCTGTTGCAAGTGCTAATAGCAAAACATTAAGTTCTGTGTCAGCAGGAGACAGGCTACCCATTCTGGGAAATGTCAGCTAGATGGAGGCTCAATAATGCACCAGGCTTCCTTTAAGAAAAAGAAACTAGCTGTGTCTGTGCCTATCTTCCTGCTCCCTCTGTCCCCTAGGATCCTCAGGGCAATCGGATCTTCCAGTGGCTGAATGTGACATCTCAGGTGGCCATCGTCCAGCTCACGTTCGAGTTAATCAAAGAGCCAATGCTGGGCAACTACCAAATCAATGTGGAAAAGAAATCGGGATCTAGCACTCGTCACTCATTCTTTGTGGAGGAACATGGTTAACACCTGCTGTTGCTATTATTTGCACTAGGAAAAAATAGTTGGAGTAGGGCCCAATCTGTCATAGTTAGACCCAAATTGCAACCCCCCCCCCCAAAAAAAGTGTGCATTGCTATCTATGTGTCTCCTGACCCCATTGTGAATGGACCAAGTCTCTACCCTGTCCTCAGTGGAGTCTAGAGACCTGAGCTGGTGTCCAGACTCACCTCATCTTTGGAGTTTGGGTCTGCAGGTAACTCAAGAACAAGACAAATTTGTTCATGTGTTACCTGCAGACCCAAACTTCAGACTAAACTTCATCCCGAAGCATGGCCCTTCCTAGGGTTTGTCTCTAGGACCGCCTCTGTCTTAGTTCATTCTGGCCCAGAGGGACGTTCTCAACCAAATTAGAGCCACCAGAAATTATCCTGGATTTTCATACAAGGTTTGAGTGCCTGAGCCTGGGATGACTCAACAGAACAGGCCCGCACTCCTTTCTGCACAAGATCTTAGTCTGTGATCCAGTTACACTGCAAATTCCAGGGTGTTCTGTTCTGGCTTCTGGTTCAGCCCACTCCAAAGACAGTCTGTTTGCAGAATTCAGAATCCAGAAATCCATCTAGATCCAGGCTTTGCATTTTGAACAACCCCAAGTCTGGGTTATTAGGAGCTAAGGTTTTTGCATTGGGGATGTCTCTCACAAGAGATACATTTTAACAGCAATGCACCATACTCAACCTGCCAAAGGTACTGACCCCAGTTTGCCAGCTCTTTGGACCAAGACTGCAGCCCTGCACGAATCCCTCTTTTGGGCTGTTCATACTGCAATCAGGAAGTGTGACTGCAGCCTGTGTAGACATACCTGAGCTAGCTTTGAGCTAGCTAGCAGTAGGGGCTGCAGCTGCTAGAGTATGGACCCAGGGTCTTGGGTGGGTGTGGCTAACCCAGGCAACTCCCCCACTACCTCTGCACTGCTGAGGCTTCACTGCTATTGCTACTCTGGCTAGCTTTGATCTACATGCGCTGCAATCACATCATGTGACTGCAGCATATGCTTTATGTCTCTAGGTATCTTTCAGTCATTGAACTCCACTTGTCTTCTGTTTCTCCCCTTTTTACCCCTTTTTGTTCCCAGAGACATTCTGACCCTAGTTGCCTTTAATAAATGTGCCATTTGAGAACTAGAGAGAAGAAACAAATAGTAAAAAGCCAAAGAACAGAAGTTAAACATCTCCTCTAGGTGCAGGCTGTGAAAAACTCCTCCTAGGCAGGTTATGAAACTTGAGTTACAAACATTAAAGGTTGGCACTAGGAACTAACCTTTATCCTAGCAGCATTCACTAGCTTTCTCAGCACATAGTGAGGAGTCTAAACACTGCTTGTTTTATGGCTTTTCCTTCCTTAAGTAGCACCTCAGAGCAAATCCATTACTTGTCTATGTCGGGTTTACTGATAGCTAGTGGAGCATTTTCACCATGATCCCCAAGTGTTAGATCATTTTCTTGGTCCCTTTCACCAACTCAATTCAGAGCACTCTAGTTCCCGCCTGCTGTGTGTTAGTAACTAAACAACTGGGAGGGTCCATTTCTTTCATAGGAACTAATGTGCCTTTTTCCCCCCCACACTAGTGCTACCAAAGTTTGAAGTTATGGTCCATGCACCAAAAAGTGTCTCAGTCCTGAATCCTGATTTGACAGTGAAAGTTTGTGGTGTGTAAGTATCTGATACAGTGCTGCAGAGAGACTGGGGGCAGGGTGAGACCTTCCCAGAGAGACAGACAAGAGGGCAGACTCATCAGCAGACGGGGAGGAGGACAAAGCAATCAGGCCATCAGAAGAGGCTGATCAATATTGATTTTGGGGATGGCGGCCTACATTTATTTGTGTTCCTCTGGCTTGTGGGTGGATGGGAATCTTATTGTTTGCACAGGTGTATGGTGGGTTGTACACAACATTATCCACTTCCTTACGGGCCCCCTGGGATGGGCTCACCCCTCCCCAGTGGTTATTTTAGGAGTAGGCTCTGCTAAGCCAGCCAGAAGCATGGAGTTAAAGCCCAGCAAGGGATTCAGCATCCAAGCAGGCTATGGGACCCTGAGCTGACCCTATCCAGTGTAGCTGAGAACAGTTGGGCTCAGTCCTTTAAAGGGGCTGAGTAACTCTTACACAAGGAGATTATTACGTCAAATCTAAAGGTGAAATCCTGGCCCAACTGTCATCAAGGGGAGTTGATTTGCCTTCCTCTGCCTCAGAGGGTCAGCTTCATCCCAGGACATCAGTGGACTCACCCTAGAGAGAAATTGGGCCCCAAACGTTGGTAGCAGTGATTTTTAAAATACGAAGTTTAAAAAGTAGGGGTAGGCTTAAGATTGCATTTAAACTTCCCCAAAGCTCAGGGAGTTGCTCAAATCCTGGGTTTGGCTCAGACCTGTCTCTATTGCAAAACTGAAGCAACTGTCATCAAAGTATTTCAGAGTGGATGGCCCAAAGGCCTGGACAACAGTATACCCACTTTCTGTACCTTTAGGGAAATAGATTAGAGCACAGGGAGCTTTAGAGTTCGTCTGTGGGAAATTGTACTGCACTGCAGAAGAGAATCAAGTGTCTGTGAAACAATGTTTACTAATGTGGGGGATGCTAAACTAGCTTAGGGGGGACCCACAGGGCACAGATCAACATGGCCAAAGAAAGATCCTGGACCCCCAGTCCATGTCCCACACACTCTGCAACATGCTGCTGAGTCTGCAAGTCAAATGGCAAGTAGTTCTTTGACAGCCAACCAACTTCCTTTCCTGCTCCTGTTGTGGTCCTTGCTATGTAGAGCCTGGCAAAATATCTCAGTCTGAACCTTTTCCCAGTAAAACATGCCAATTCAAAGACACCAAAACATTGTGTGTATTCATGTCAGTTTAAATTCACTCAAAGATATGAAAAAATTAAAACATTTTGTTTCGACATTTTGGAAATGAAACATTTTTATTTTTGATTAAAAACAATGTTTTGTTTAGAAATTTCCTTTTTAATTTTTTTTAAAATGTTAGTAAATTCTTGAAATTGAAACAATTTTTGTTGACTTTTTAATTGCCAAAAAATGTGAAAATGTTCATTGTCCATTCTACCTAATACAGATCCCCTCCCCGATTTTTTGGAATGGTTAGCAAACCGAAAAATCCCTTATTCACTCAGCTCTACTCACATGAATGTGGCAACAGGCTAATGCAGCAGCTCCAATGTCTCTGCTCTGCTGGTGCAGCACTCACCTCAGCCTCTGGTGGCATCAAGTTGAGGCATCTAGTGAGTGGGGTCCTGAGGACAGGCAGGAGCTGCTGGTGGATTGCAGAGAAAAGAGGGGAGTTGGCAATAAACAGAGAAAGCGAAGAAAATGTTAAATACAGTGAAAAGGAAAAAAGGCAAGATGAAAAGGAGAAATGAGACAGAAAACAAGCAGGACAAAGGCATGAAGATGGCAGATGCATGGGGACCTGGAGGGGAAGGGCTGCATCATAGAAAGGTTGGGAATTGCTGCTCTAAGAGCAACTAAGAGCAACGTGGAGGCCCCTTCATGGGAAACAGATTCCTGTTTAAGGAAATGACAGGATGTTTCATTAGGACAAATGAGTATGGGGCAATGGAGATACTAAGAAATAAACTAAGCAGCAATGTCCTCAGACAGTGAGAGGTGTCACCAGGGTACAGATGTTGGCATGAAAATCCACACCATTGCTGCTCACAGGTAATTAACCTTTCTGCAGTATTCAGAAATCTAGTCAGAAAGCACACAAAATTACTCCCGTCTCTGGGTTCCCAGGCGTGGTGCGGATCCTGGGTCTGTAGCTGTACGTTAGCTCAGGTCAGTCTCTTGAGCCCCTAATTCACTGTTGTGTTTTCTCCTCCACTAGGTACACCTATGGCCAGCCTGTCGAGGGGAGAGTCCAGCTCAGTGTGTGCAGGGATTTCAGTTTGTATGGAAACTGCAAGAGAGACCCACTTTGTCAGTCTGTTACCAAAGACGTATGATACACAATAGTTATTTAGAAAAGATTCCCTTCCTTCCCGCCTCTCCTCTTTTTCTCTCCTTTCACCCCATCATTCCTCCCTTCTAATGCGGGGAGCACAGGACTGAGACTCAGGAGACCTGGGTTCTCATCCCTGCTCTGCCATTGGCCTGCTGGGTGACCTTGAGCAAGTCACTTCACTGCTCTGTGCCTCAGTTTCCCCATCCGTAAGGTGGGGATAATGATACTGGTCTCCTTTGTAAGTTGCTTTGAGATCTATGGGAAAAAGTGCTAGAGAAGAGCTTTATATTATTGTTGTTATTATCTTTGCCTCCTCTCCCCAATCCTCTCTTGATCTTTGAACATAAATTGTATTTTAACTAGTTTTGACCCTTCCCCCCCTATATTGTGAGTGGGGTTTGAGTCCTTTGGGTGGGTGGATAGCTTTGGGATAGAATCACAGAGCATTTCCCCAATATATTTGGGGCTGATGCGGGTCCTTGGCTACATGGAACTCACTGGCTAAATATCTATCTTATCTAAAGTGCCAGTGTCTATAGGGCTCCAGGCACCATAGGAACTAGCCACAATCTAGATAAAGGTACTTCCAGAATCAGAGAGGAAATATCCTTCATTGAAATAATATTGGGGATGGTTGTGTACACCAGTTAAACACATTAGAATCTGTCTCATTGGGAGAAGGGATGTTGACCAAGACACTGGGTTCTCTCCAGCTCTTGGAAAAGTACCTTAAGATTCCTCTCTTCAGGAAGAGTGAGAACTGCTCCCAACCTCTCCCTGAAAAGAGAGGACCTTTAAAACAGCACGGTCTGCCATCCTGCATTGCTGTCCTGCAGTGTTAGCACTCAGTGCCTTCCTCAATACAGGGCAGAATGGCAGGGAGCTTGTTTAAAGTCTAGAAGGCAGACTCTAACAGTGCAGTGTTTCCAGGCATTGGGCATAGCCCCAGAGAGTCAGCAATGGATAGGAGCCCAAGTCTTAGCAAGGAATCTGTACCCAGGTTCCGCTGACCCAGAGACAAGAGACCTACCAGCTAAGCCAGGCACAAGTATATCATAATGGTCTTTTGTATGAATATTCTACTGTTATCTTTGCTCAAGGGAGTAAGCCAACACCCTCTTTGCCCCCTTTGGCAAGAAGATCCCCAGTTCTCCTGACCCTGCACAGAACTGGGCTCTTTCCCTACTCACTGACTGTTTCCTTCCCTTCTCAGATGGGGAAGGATGGCTGCATCTCCCAGGTCTTCAGTTCCAAGATCTTTGAGCTCAATCGCTCTGGGTACCAGATGAACTTTGATGTGAAAGCAATCGTGACAGAGAAAGGAACAGGTAACACCTTCCAATCAGTCAGAGACTGGGGTACAGTGATGGAAAAGGGTGTTGGAGAGAGAGACTGCTCTGTGGGTCAAAGCTTTGGCTGCCCAGCACAAGGTTCAATTCCCAGTAGGGTGACCAGATGTCCCAATTTTATAGGGACCGTCCCGATTTTTGGGTCTTTTTCTTATATAGGCTCCTATTACCCCCTTACCTCCATCCCGATTTTTCACATTTGCTGTCTGGTCACCCTAATTCCCAGAGAAGATCCATTTTATAAACACAGTGACAAACTATTTCCAAGGCAAACACTTAGTTGGTTAATTTGTCTCTATTTAAACAATGTTAAATTCAAGACTAATTAATGTCTCATCTTCATCCTGGGTCTGTCTTGCAGGTGTGCAGCTCACAGGCTCTGCCTACATTTCCATAACCCAGGTGCTGGGCAGTGTGCGGTTTGAGAACATGGATCAATCCTACAAAAGGGGAATTCCTTACTTTGGACAGGTAGGCCAGCAGCGAGGGACCCTCCAGGACAAACTACTGTATCCTGGGTGATAGAAGGGGTCTGCGAGGTAGGGGAGTTGTGTATTGGGGTCCAGCAATGTGACCAAAAGTCTTTCACCAAAGGAGGTTTTCTTCCCCAAAGCTTCATTCTTTCTACGTAGACTGCACAGTTTAGAACAAAAGAATTATTTTCTTAAACAACATTTGTCCATCCTTGGCTACAACTCAGTTCTTCAGCTAGTCGATACGGACCTCTGATTACCAATGAGTTTACTGCCTTTGTTCTGAGGTCTTTTCTATAATGAGGGGAAATGTTTTGTGTTTAAAAAAATGTTAACTAACATGATTTTAACTAATTAACATGATTTTAACTGCAAGTTAAATGTGATTTAAGTTTCCCCCCCACCCCACAGGTTTGGCTATGACCAGTTAACTGGAGCTAATTGAATCTGTTTTTTTTTTTTTTTAATGTTGGAAAACAACAGTTTTTGTTTTAATTCACTGAAAAATGCAATTTTTTTGACAAAGTTCACTTAGCAATTTTTTTATCTCAAAATGTTTCATTTTGTTATGGTGGGGAAAATGCCCCATTTTTAAAATTCTGTTTTCTTCAACTAGAAGAAGAAAGGGGGAAATTAAAGTAAGATAAAGTTGGAAAAAGAATTATTTTCTCTTTTAAAAAATTTTTTCACGGGCAAAAGGTCAGTGTATGTTGACAGAGCGATGTATGCCCGAGCTTGAGCCTGGGCTCAAGTCAAACCCCTCTTGTGTCCACACCAACTGTGCAAACCTAGGGCTCTGACCATGGTCACAAGAACTGCAGTGCTGGAGGGTCTGAGCCCATGTTAAGCTGGGACCTAAGGTCTGAGCCCTATTGCTTTGCTGTGGGCATGCAGCCCCCACTTGACTCAGATTCCGGAAGTCCTCCGGATGTATCCCAGAGTTCCAGGTGGCAGAGGAGCAGCACTGCAGGCAGCCAGGCTGCCATTACTGCCTGTCCGAGTGCGCTCCCCCTTCCTTCTCCAGTTCCTCCTCGCTGCTTGCGGCGCTTGCCCCAAGCAGGGAGCAGAAGTGACAAGGGGAAGCGGCTTCCAGCTGCCGGGATGTTGGGAGTCATCTGTCCCTGAGTTGGGAGCCCTGCCACTCCCCGTCCTTGCAGGGCAGTGTTTGGTCCTCACTTTGCTCTCTGGCCCTTGCTCCTAGGCCCCCCTGGGGCTGCTTGTACTGGGCAGAGTGCACTGTGAAGGTGGCAAGTGGTAGACAGCCCCAAAGCTTCCCCACAGCCAGGGATGGATTAAGATATATTGGGGCCCTGGGTAAAAAGAACATTGGGGGCCCCCCACATCCCCTCCTGCCACGAGGCCCTGCTCCCTCTCCCTCCCCTTCTCCCAAGGCTCCACCCCCTGGTCTGACCACAGGCCAGGCCATGGTAAGAGCTGCCCAGGGAGCCTGCACTGCTGTGGGGAGCCTTGAGCACTCTGGTCCCCCGCCCAGGGCAGGTGGAGGGTCTGGGGTTCCCCACAGCTGCCCAGGCTCCCTGGGTGGCTTTTACCACAGCCTAGGACAGTGGTCCCCAAACTGTGGGGTGCACTGCCTAAGGGGGGCACAGAGGAATATTCGGGTGGGAGGTGCAGTAGGGCCCAGGTTAGCCTCCACAGGGAGTGGGGAGGGAGTGCCACCCATCCCTGCTTTGCCCCCAGGTCTGCTCCGGACCCACTCCAGCCCTGCCCCCAACTCCAGCTGTGGCTCTGCTCCTGGCCACACCCCAGCTGCACCTCTGGCCCTGCTCCCAGCCCTGGCCCTACTGCTGGCCCCCAACCGCAGCCCCCGCCCCCACCACGACCCCCGGCTCCTTTTCCCAGCTCTGGCCCTGGCTCCCAGTGTGGTGCAGACCAGGTAAGGGGGGGCACAACTGAAAGTTTGGGGACCCTGGTCTAGGGTGACCATATGTCCCGTTTTGGCCCTGGATATCCTAACTTGTTAGGCAAAACTCGGCATTTGTCCCATTTGCTCTTGTTAACTGATCACCAGCTGGCAAGAGTAAATGGTACAAATCCTCAGTTTTGCCAAAAAGGGACTCGGGGGGGAGGGGGGGGAGTTGGGGCTCAGGCCAGCCCTGCGCAGGGGAGGAGGGGGCTTGGGCATGTGGCTCAGGATGGCTCCCGGGGGGGGGGGGGGGGGGCCCGCCGGGTCCCAGTGGGGGGTTGGGGGGGGAATATACTCATTCACTCTCTACATAGGCTCCGTCCGTCTTCCAGCCTGGCGGGGATGGGGCCTCAGGGGGAAGAGGAGGAGCAGGGCGGGGGGAAGGAGCAGGGGGTGGGACCATAGTGCCAGTGCTCCTGTGTGGCCCCCAAATTAGCCAGGGCCCCTGGACTTGGGCCCCTTTGGCCCATACGGTAATCCGCCACTGACCACAGCCGCCCATGGTGGCAGCTCTGGCTACCTCCTCGCTGTGGGGAAGTTGTGGGGCTGGTTCACACTTGCCACCCTGACAGTGCACACAGCCTGGACACCCCTGCCCACTCTGCCTCAGTGTGGACACCATTTTAACCCTAGCTTAAGAATTTTTTGACTGAAGTGTAGATGCTCAAGCCCAGGATTCCCTGAAATAGGTCAGCTGACTTGAGCCCTACTAACCCTAGGTTTACATTGCAGTGTAAACATACCTTCAGAGAGAGAGTGTGTGAAAGTATTACTTTTAAAAGTGAAAGTGTTACTTTCTCTGCAGGTGTTACCTTTCACGTTTAGAAGTTCAAGTACTACTCCTTCTTACTTTTTAGTACTCCCCCTCCCCCACGTGCACACTCTTTTCCAGTGGAAAAATAAGGAAAGGGAAAAAAGAGAAGGAACTCCACCCCACCCACCAACCGAATGAAAGCAACTAACCAAACAAAATGAAACAAAAGATAGACACCCCCAAAGCAAACACCAATCCCATTCCTAAAACAAAACAAAATTGAAAGAAGGTAGGCATTTTCAAAATTTTCATTTTAAAAGTATGGGAAAGTACCAAAATTACAGGCATGTTTTCAACTGATTGTTTTTCTAATTTTTGAAAAATGAAAGTTTCATCAAATTAATGTTTGTGGTTAAAAAAAAAATTAGTTTGACAAAATCCAATTTTTCAGTGAAAACCCTTTTTGTTAAAAAGTTTTGACCAGCTCTACTGTTAATACATTTTTAAACACAGTTGTCTTTGTCTACAGTAAGGGAAATGCAATGCTTTTTCCCAGTAAAGACAAAAGTTTGATTGGGTCTTTGGTTCCCAGCTCTGCTTCATTACTTTACTCTCCAGGGATTCTGAACAGGGAGTTAGCTTGTTACCTGCTAGTAATTTAGGTTGGATCCCAGCACCCTGGCAATAGATTATAATGAAATGCCATTTTTTTTGACCATACCATCTAGTTCTGGGTTTCCTGGCTCCCATTGGATGGCATTACTCCCTGCAAAAGAACCACACTATTATTATTCTTGAACACATGCACGCATGCACACAGACTCAAAACACAGTTCAATTACTAGGCTTCTGGAATCTAGCTAATGGAATAGGGGGTTATGTAACTCTACATTTCCCAAACAGCTCACAGTCTAATGTATGAATAGCAAGGATGTGGGATTAGAACCAGGGAATATCGTGGCTGGAAGCTGGAGTGGGTTCAAAAACCAGAGATGAAAGAAGAAGGTGTCCAGCAAGTGAGAAGGAGTCCTTGAGCCACGAAGAAGAAGGTGGATGAGAAGTGTGTGCCCTTAAACTAGGAATGAGTAGTGGGGAGCGAGCAGGCAGGGGATGAGGGGGGGAACTGTGTGTGTCCTTGCACTTGAAAGAGATAGTGTAAGTGAAGCGGTGCACCTGAGGAAGTCCCACACATGCTAAGATGGCTGCCATGATGTTGTGACAGCCATTTTAACTCTTGGATATTTGTTTCTGGGGGTAGGGTTGTATTAGATGGAAAACAAACGCAGGCCAAACATACATGTCCATACTCAAATGGATTAGGAACTTAACATTGGTCTTCTACCTCTCTGAGACCCTCACATTCCCTTTTCCTTTAGGTCAAACTGGTAAATGAGGATGACTCACCCATCGCAAATGAGGTTGTCCAGCTGCTCCTCAATGACAAGAATGTGGGCAACTACACCACAGATGCGAATGGCACCGTTCAGTTTTCAATTGACACTTCTGAAATGTTCAATCCTCAATTTACCCTGAGAGTGAGTACCTGAAGAGCTAATGGGGAAAGGTTGTATTCCCATGAGAGGCACTGTGTTGGGGCGAGGAATGGCTGCTCTTCACCCATTGCCTAGAACCCGTGTCCAAAGCGGATGGGATGATGATAGTATTCTAGTGATGGACTGTGCTTTCTCTGGCTCCTTTCATGCCCCAATGATCACAAAGCGCCTTATAAAGTAGTGAGCTAAATATCTCAGTTATTGCAATGATTATAAAAGTAAATACAGCAGCTTTTGTGTGCTCTACAATATCACAAGCATTAGCTGAGTTTGGTAAGAGAGGACATGCTGGCCAGGAGCAGTGAGGCAAACTGTTGGGATTTGAAAAAAAAAGGGAATTGATTGATTTAGCCTTTTTTACCTTTTTCTTTTCTCTTTTTCTTTTTCTTTGTATCTTGTCTACAAAATGATTGTGACTTTCACAGACTGGTTTTTCTTCTGCTCCTTTTGGCACTTCTCTGCTTTTGCTGTCACCTCTCTCCAGGTTGCTAGAGATGGTCTGCTGTCACTTACACTACCTGGGCAGTTAGCTTTAGATAAAATGCCTTATCAATGGCTTGTGAATTTCAGTCTCTTATTTGTGGCAGTGACTTGCTGTTTCCACTGCCTCCCCAGTGAAACATTAGTTTATTTTCTCTCTTTCCCCCTTTCTTGTCAGGCGATCTATAAAACCAACGACAACTGCAATGTAGTTGGTTGGTTGATACCTTACTATCCTGAGGCCTATTACTCTGTCCAGCGCTTCTACTCCCGGACTAACAGCTTTGTGAAGATCAAGTTGGAGCCAGAGGAGTTGAGCTGTGGCCAGCAGAGGTCAATCACAGTGCACTATGTCCTGAACAAATACGGGGACGGGAAGATCACCAGTGTGAAATTCTACTATGTGGTAAGTGTCAGGTGGCTTCTGTGAGTCCCTAAAAGAACTTGGTTTGGGATCTGCCCAGCAAAACCCCAAGTACTGATATCTCAAATAATTGATCTACTGGGTTGTGGATAGCAGAGATGCTATCTAGGCTAAACTCTTCCTTGATTCACATTGCTGCACAACCTGGCAAACAGGACTATGAAAGCAGGGATAGGACTGGGGTGGTTTGGCAGGACTGTGTCTGTGTGTGGAAAATCTAACCTATCTACCCCTGGACATGCTATACCTGACTTCATATTGAGCCAAACAGTTAAAACAATCCTAATTGCATGCTTTCCGTTATCGGACTGGGTTGTTCTCCTCCCTCCCTCCCCCACTGTCTCCTGTCTCATGGCATCTTTCTGTGCACAGGTGATGGCGAAGGGCAAGATTGTCCTCAGTGGCAAACAGCATGTCAACACCAGTGGTGGTAAGTATAGTTTTTGATGCAAAGTTAATGAGAATTAGGGAACGAGGCAGAGGTTCTGGGATCTGTGCAGCAGGCAGGACTAGCACAGGCACCTCTCCCCACACGTGTGTGCATGGTGGAGTCAGGCTGGTAATCACCACCTGGAAGACCCCTGTTCAATTAAGGATGGCTGCCCAACCCATCAAACTCTCCACAGAGGCAGTGGGGGGAAGCAGCCTATGTCACCCCTGGGGAAGTAATGGCCTATGGAGATCCTCCCAGAAGAAAACTGGAGCAAATGGATTTCCTGAGGAGAAGCAGAGGGTGGCTAAGGGAATAAGGAAATAGCACATATCTTGTGAGATGTCTGCCACTGGGATGTTGGATCTGAATTCCGATCTGAAATCTGACTGGATTTTGGATACGCCTTCAAACCCTAATTTTAACTTTGGTGGCATCTGGATCTGAATCCAAACCCACGACCACATCAGTCCATCTCCACAGTATTTCCTCTCTATACCATCTCAATCCCCTTCCCATTTTACACACATGCCAGCTAGGATGGCAGCTTCTAGAACAGTTTCTCTGTGATTCTCTTTTGACTTGTCCCTTTCTCTCAGCATCTCTAAAAGGCACTTTCTCCATCCCACTCACTGTCAGTGAGAAGCTGGCTCCTGCTGCCCGGATGCTGGTCTACACCGTGCACCCTGCCAGGGAGCTAGTAGCCGACAGTGCCAGATTCCAGATTGAGAAATGCTTCAAGAACAAGGTCAGTGAACATAAGATGTTTCTATGGTTGTATAGATTTTTTCCTATGGGAGACCTATATTCACACACACACACACACACACACACACACACACACACACACACACAC